CAAGCACCCTCGAGGCAGTTACACGGTGCTTACAACTGTCTCTCGACGTGAAAGAACCAGAAAGTAAATCAAGTCATACGCAGCTGTCATCTGTACGCAAGGAAGTAAGCACAAGATGCCGAAAACCCTTAGCAGGATGCAGCGCACCCTTCATGCGACTCGCCGAATATCTCACGGCGCTTCGCGCTTGGTGATGTGAGAGCCTGGTCCGGTGAGAACCCGGCGTGCTCCGTCCCGGCTTTGTAGGGATGCGAGGTCAATGGTCTAACGACTACGGCATGCACGACTATGAGTACACCCCACCCCCCCCTCCCCCCGGGCGAAGGTCGGTATGGCGGACAACCGTTCGCCATACCTTGTCGCTTTACACCATGCCATCACCCCTTATTGCGGGCGTGCACTTCCCCTCTGGCTGTTCCAAAGCTGTTCCTCGTGAGGGTCGGAATACCCGTCCCATATCACAATTTACCGCGGGTGATACTCCGCACCGGAGTTCCCACGGATCTTAATGGATCAACTCACAAGAACCTTAACCGACCAACACACGTTTGCATACGTGCCGTGTTACCGCCGTCTTGTACAACAACACACCACACCACACCGTACCGTGCCGTGTCCTACGTCCGGTAAAGTACCGTATCGTACCGTATCATTCCGCATCATACCGTACCGTATACGTCACAGCGGATGCCAGCTCTCTCGACCCCCCTCTCCGGGCGTTGGTCGCTCACGTGCTGACACCACCACCACATCCATATCAAAGCAAGATCCCATCCTGAGACCTCGGCCCCCGGTGCCGAGCGTGAGCAGTCCACGGGGCCGCCAAGTCTGTCACCTCACCTCCCCTCTGATGTTGATGGCCCTTGTGGTGAGGGCCTGGGACAAGGCCCCGGGGTCGACTCGAAGGTATCTCGCCGCGGAGTGGAGTGCCTGAGCACCTGCCTGATCCACCTGTATGTACAACAAACAAAAACACACACACACAAGCAATCCAAAAATCACCCGGCTTGTGAATGAATCAAATTCGAGCGCCTGGGTGCCTGCCTGATCTGCCTGAGTGGTGAGCAAAAAGAGTGTCAAATCCACCAGCAGCCAATCAGAAATAAACTTTTATCGAACATGTACGCAAAATATCCAGAGAATATAATCAAACAATACAATCGACCAATCAGATGATATCAAGTAGGGTCCATTGGGACATGTTCATGTTGTGCACGAGACTCCTTCAAGCTACATTTGACTACAACAAAAATCAGGAAAGATCAACATCCGGACATATTTATGTTCTCGAGAACACTCACTGACAAACTGTTTGTGACTGACTGACCTGCGAACCTTCTCCGTTGGCCGAGAAGCTGATGTTTCCCAGGTGCAGCACCGCCGCGCAGGTCTCGTAGCACCAGCACTTCTCCTCGAACCCAAACCCGAGCTTCGTAAACGCCTGTTCGAGTGGGAGGGAAGCAACACGGCAACTTGTACAAAAAGAAAGTCTACTGCCGAACATGCCTGAGCGACACGACGACTGCTGCTTCCGAATCTCAGCGATCACTATGCACACCACTGCTGTTGTAGCGGGGAACAGTAGTAGGTCCACACGGACATGCAATGCTGTACATAGACGATAACAACAACAACAACAGCAAGGTACGTAGCACTTGTCTCTCTTCCTTGAAGGAAGTTGCCACCATGCCCCCCCCCCAACTCTATCGCACCCCCATCGCCGCCTTCTTGTGTGCTGCACCTCAACACCCGTTCACCACACAATACTACCTACTCTCACATCTTTCGCCTCCTCCTCTCGTTCTATCCTCCTACCTTGCCCCCCCCCCCCCCCCCCCCCCCC